ACCCCTAAACCCTAAACCCTAAACCCTGAACCGTAAACCCTAAACCCTGAACCCCTAATCCCTAAACCCTAGACCCTAAACCCTAAAGCCTAGACCCTAGACCCTAAACCCTAAACCCTAAACCCTAAACCCTAAACCCCAAGTCGCCTTCCGCAGCGTGTCCACGAAGACCTCCACGAGGCTCTCGAGATCCAACGCCTCGAGGGGTCCTGGCGCCTGAGGCAAAAGTTGGGGTTTTAGGGCTTAGGGCAAAAGTTTGGGCCTCGAGGGGTCCTGGTGCCTGAGCCAAAAGGTTTAGGGTTTTAGGGTTTTAGGGTTCAGGGTTTACGGTTTGAGGGTTTAGGGTTTAGGGTTCAGGGGTTTTAGGGTTTTAGGGTTTTAGGGTTCAGGGTTTACGGTTTAGGGTTGAGGGTTTAGGGTTTAGGGCTTGGGTTTGGGTTTGGGGTTTAGGGCTTGGGGTTTTGGGGTTCAGGGTTCAGGGTTTAGGGTTCAGGGTTGAGGGTTTAGGGTTTAGGGCTTAGGGGCCTTACTAATTAGGTTGGAATCCTTTGTAGTATTAATATAATAGGAACCCTACCAGTAATATTGGTAATTACTTAGGCTTCTGTATTAGGTGCTGGAAGGGAGTTTAGTGTATAGGGCTGTAAAGGTATCTTCGTTTTAAAGGTTTAGGGGTTTAGGGTTTAGGAGTTTAGGGTTTAGGGTTTAGGGGTTTAGGGTTTGGGGGTTTAGGGTTTAGGAGCTTGGGTTTGGGGCTTCTTTAGGGTTTAGCGGATTAAGGGTTGAGAGGTTTAGAGGCTTGAGTTTCCTTTCAAGCGTCCTTCAAGGCTCTGAGGGCGGTTCAGGGTTCAGGGGTTTTGGGGCTTGATACGGAGTAAAGTTTATGGTGGGTCTTACATCCCAAAGAGCCCAGGACCCCTTCATGCAGGAATCATGGGCAAAGATTTGACTCTTAAGTTGTATCTTAACCTACCAAAAACCCACTTTTTTGTAGGTTCTGATTATAAACCCTAATATGGGATTTATAGAGGGCCCTACAAGAAAAGTAGGGTCTGGTATGGCATGACTGAAGCATACTGGGTTCTATAGTAATTAATTGGCAGACCAACGTAGCACCTTGTGCTGTGCAACATCTTTACACCCTTTCGCTCGTGAAAAACCTTTAGACCCTCCTAAGCCCTGCACCCCAAACCCTAAACCACAAAAGCCTAAACTGCAAATAGAAACCTGTTTTCAGCGCTCCTCCCCGCGCATTTGGAGCTCACTGAAGTTGCCAAATAGCCTGGGAGTCCATGAAGAGTTTAGGGTTTAGGGGTTTAGGGCTTATGTGGACCCTAAACTAAATCCTAAAACCCCAGCCCCAAACCCTATCAGCCAAACACTACATCCTTCCATGGTTCATCCTGCGGTGCCTTCAAGCCATTCGAGGTACTTTATGGCTCAGGGTTTTGGGTTTAGGGCTCAGGGTTTAGGGTTTTGTTTATCAGCAGGGATCGAAATGCAACAATTAGTTGGTGGGGCGGCGTGCAAGCAACTATTGCAGTCACCTGACGGGTCACCTTACCTGGTAACTTTCCTAGAACTATACCGTACTCCAGAACAAAGTTAGATACAAATAATGACTATAATAGCAGTAAACATAAATTAAAATGTACACATGTATATATATATATATATATACATTTAATATACATATGTATATT